TATTCATTTTTGTGTTGCGAACTGTTATTGGATGTTCGAGTTGGATGTGAAAAGAGGCTCCGCCCCTGTGTGGTGTAAGGGGAAAGAGAGAGAAGGAGGGGGGAGAAGGAGTGCCTCGCTGGTTCAAGTGCGGTTCTCTTAGAAGTCGGGGTGTGTACGGCGTGGGCTGTGGCCGACAACAGCCCAAATAAACATCCCTTGTACATCAAAACGCCTCGTCCTTGTCGGAGAACGCTACAATACTGACATAACGTAACAATTAGTCTAATAGAATTACTTTTTGGCCATATAAACATCAGCAACTGCACTACTTTTTTTTTTACTCCTTTGAGTATGAGTTCCATATTGTCGCTATCTCATATTATATGAGCAATAAAAGCCGAATGCATCAAATATGATACTCAACATCAAATATGTGCTTCATTTTCTAGATTCCCCCCCCCCCCCCCAAGTATTTTGTCTAAAGGTCAATAAACTGTTCCATTAAACCTTCATATATTCGTCTTTACAGGGTTAACTATTATATAATATAGCTATTTTATTATTTACCATAACTGGCAGCTGCAGGAGGAGAACCTTTATGTTCATCATGTCTTTTGACTGCTAATAAAATACACTTCTTTTTTATCCACAAGGGGTCACTGTGTACCATAATGTTTATAAGATCTTTTTTAATTCAGAAACTGACTTCGGTTCAATCTGGTGTCTTTATACTGTAGTAGGTATATTAATAAATACATTTAGGATTAAAATAAAAGCTGTGTTGGGTCACAACACCATGCTGTCTAAGCAGTTAAAATGTCTTCAGATTATTTAATACATTATTATTTAATACAATAATGATTCAAATGCTACAAATGTTAAAAGTGAATAATAATCATTCTAACAGGGAGCAAAGCTACTGATCGAAACTGTTGTTGTGCTTTAGACTAAAGCTAATCAAATCATTCACAACTCACAATCCACTTTTTTATTTCTCCACACAAAATGTATTGTGTTTGAAAATGTATTAACAAAAAATGCAATATTATGTACATGACTTATGTAATACTAATATGACGAGTGCTGAAGTTTTCAAACGCTTTCGCTTTATAGAACTCTTCTAGAATTGTTTTCATTGTTGGAGTAAAACAAAACGAAATAATTGGTCACATTGTTTGAAATCTATATATATATGCTGTTGTGCCGGTTATATGGAGTACAGCAGAACTACAGTATTTCAGTGGTGAAGCCTCTGTCGTCAAACAGCTTTGTCATGCTTCTTCAAGTGTATTTGCTTTACTACGTTTGAACCCTCGGGAGGGACGGCCACTTGTCTGAGGAGCTAACAATAAGCTGGAACTCAATAACAATACCCCACCCTCATGAGAATACTGTGTTCTCAGACAATCTGATAGGTTTACTCGATGATAACAGAAGCAGCAGAACCGGTTCCCGCCTCACGGCTGCTGTGCTCGAGGATCAATTCATGTTACTGTACCTACAAACAAAACCACCAGACAAACATGTTGGAAATATATTTTAATACAAACAATCTTTAAAGGGGTCATATGATGCGATTTCATTTTTTCCTTTCTCTTTAGAGTGTTACAAGCTCTTGGTGCATAAAGAAGATCTGTAAAGTTGCAAAGACTAAAGTCTCAAATCCAAAGAGGAAGCAGCAGAACCGGTTCCCGCCTCACGGCTGCTGTGCTCGAGGATCAATTCATGTTACTGTACCTACAAACAAAACAACCAGACAAACATGTTGGAAATATATTTTAATACAAACAATCTTTAACAACAAACTACACCAATTCTACTTTGGTGGCTTATTAAGAAATTAAGGCTGGTTCACACTATTACCATACAAACATCTGACTTGAAAATGAAAGTGTTCCATCTTCTTATTTACATATTAAACATTAACGGACGCAACATTGATCATATTCACAGTGATACAAAATCATGTTTTAAATCATCCAAAGTCTTTAATTTTCAGAGTTCCACTTTATTTATTACGGTTTATTGTTATTATTACATTTATATCACTTTTCTCTTTGGGAAGGCGATTCCTGGTAAACTCTTAAGGCAACCCCAGAAAAAAAAAATATATATATATATGCATACACATACATAGTGTTGGGGGGAAAGTTACTTTTAAAAGTAATGCATTACAATATTGCGTTACTCCCTAAAAAAGTAACTAATTGCATTACTTAGATATTCGTTTATGGAAAGTAATGCATTGTTATTTTTCGTTTCTTTTTCTCATCTGGGCTGGGCTCATTTTTCGCTGATGAAACGTGTGCTGATAATGCAAGAACATTGGTCAATAAAATGCGATTAAATACATAAAGGACATTTGTGTTATTTAACAATTATTGCAGGTTTTGCATATTCTAAGTTCGCATTTCATTGTTTTTATGCATTGTGAGAAATAATGAATGTTTCTGTGCAAGTGAGATGAGTAAATGTTGACATTTAGTCTAGATCTACAGTAACATCATGTTCACACACAGCGCACACAACGCCTCTGCACTCACTCCGGATTTCTCTCAACACGAGGACAGGAGAGCGAAAATAAACAACTGGCATCACTTATTTGAAAAAGTAAATATTTTCTCGTAAATTAAAAATGCGTTACTTTACTAGTTATTTGAAAAAGTAATCTGATTACATAACTCGCGTTATTTGTAATGCGTTACCCACAACACTGTATGCATGTGTGTGTATATATACAGTTTTTTTACAGGAATAAAAAAAAAAAAATTTATTTATTCACCCTAATGTCATTCCAAACCTGTATTTTTAAAAGGAGATATTAGGAAGAATGTTCGAGCTTCCGGCTTCTGTATAATTAAAGCGGCTGGAGATTTAAACTACCAAGCTCCACAAAAGAACAAAACAGTTACTAGAACAGTCCATAGGACTTGTGCGCTCCTGAATTCCAAGTCTTCTGAAATCATTTCGCCAGATTTAAAATCTCATATATTAAAACTTCCTACATGATTAGTTGCAAAAAACATGCATCAAAGATGTCAAATCTTGCGTAAGGCATACAGCCCCATTTCTGTAACTCACACAAGCCTGAATGAAGTTTATGAAGTATAGTCCATTTGTGTGTGCGTGTGTTTTCCTAACAGTATATCAAACAGAAAATATGTGACTGGAATGATATGAGGGTGAATAAACGATTGTTTCTGAGTGGATTATTCCTGTAAGGTGCTGATTTTAAAGCAGTGGTGCCAGTGAACACTAGCAGTCCCGCTCATCCACGCGGCCTAAGAATAGCACTAGTCGATGCTAACTGAATTTGAAAAGCGTGAGGGAAGGGAGGTGCTGGCGTTTATTAGCAGGCCTGTACTCGTCCTGTGACCTGTGAGGCACCGGTGAAGTGAAGAAGAGGGTTGAGGTATGTTCACCTGGTATTTCCTCCGCTGATGAGTCTAAAGTGCTGCTGATCCAATTCCTGCAAGAAATCTAACACAGGCAGCGCTGAAGCACCACGAGTTTATCCCTCAGCCTAAACTAGGTTCAGATGGGATATTGGTTCACAATCAAAAGCATCTATCAGGAAGGGGTTGTTCAGACTGAAGCCTCCGCCATCAGCAGTCTGTATATGAAATTCCCAGGAACCAGTCAGATCATGTTTCTGTGGAGCCCCGCACATGACATGTGGACACGATTATATTCATTGTGGCCATGAATGAAGAATACGTTCCCTCATTTTATTAAATCGTGGCCATAGAGTACAAATTTGTTCCCTCGTTTTGATCCAATTAAAACAAGGTAACGAGTTAGTACAACATGGCCACAAATGACTAAAATGAGGGAACTAATTAGTACAACATGGCCACAATTTAAAAGGGAATAAATTAATACAACATGGCCACGATTTACTCAAACGAGGCAACGGATTAGTATGGCGTCGCCAAAATGTACTAAAAAGAGGGAATTAATTAGTACGACGAGGCCACAATTTAATAAAAAGAGGGAACAACTGAGTATAACATGGTCACAATTTACTAAAACAATGGAACGAATTACTACAATGTCGCCACAATTTACTAAAATTAGGAAACAGATTAATACAACATGGCCACAAATTACTACAACGAGGGAACAATTTTTATTTATATATATATATATATGAAGAGTTCATTTACAAAACCCGCTCCATTTTAAATGAAGAAAAAACTCCATTTTAAATTTTTTTCAGAAATCACGTTTTTTTTATTGCGCATTCCAAGTAATTAAAATCATGTGGTGCAACCAGCGTGCAAAAATGCGGTGCCTTTTTAAAAAGTAAATAATTAAATAAATTACACACACACTACGGGGCTGATGAATGCTTGATTGTCGAACGTTCTAAGGTGTGCAATTATTTTCAGGGAAACGCACAGCTAAAGTAGTTCCAGG